CGCTCCTATCTCCAGGTGATATATAGTCAGGGTGGGGAAGTATGGAAGTGAGAGGCCATGGTGGGAGGCATTGGGGGGTAAGTAATGGGAGCTGTGGAAGAGATGGTTTGGGAAAGGAAATGTGGGTAGTGAGGGTGCATCAGGAGCTAGATGATGATGATCTGTTCTTCTCAGGAAGAGGAAAGACTACACACCTTGGCCAACTCCAGCTCTCTATGCACCAGCTCCAATGGAAGCCTCTCCTCTGTTGTCACTTCTGGTTATAATAGCAGCCCGGCCCTGTCAGGCCAGCTCCAGTCCCCAGAGAGTGTGGTGAGTGGGCAGATGTGGGAAACAATCTCTAGGGGTCAGGACTGTTGAGAGGAGAGTTTTTTAGCAGGACCTCATGCCTCCTCGAGGCCACTGCTGACATAAGTTCTTCCCATGTGCTATGACCTTTGATCAGAACCCTTTAGTTCTGCTTCCCTCTCCCTCTGTGTATTCATTCATAAATGAATGTTTATTATGTATTCACTGTTTTAGGACGGACACACAGAAGTGAACAAAACTGTTGTTGTTGGGGTTTTTTGGTGCTGGGGATAGAACTCTGGGGCATTCAACTACTGAGCCACACCCCCTTCCCTTTTTTGTATTTTATTTAGAGATAGGGTCTTGCTGAGGGCCTTGCTAAGATGCTGAGGCTGGCTTTGAACTCTCAATCCTCCTGTCTTAGCCTCCTGAGCCACTGGAATTACAGGTGTATACCACACCGCCTGACCAAAACTGTTTTCCTTAAACAGACTGTTAGAGGATAAACAGCTTATTTGCTGGCTAATGTTGCAAGGGGTTATTTGGAAAAGTGATGCTAAGCCAGTACAAAATAGAGGATCTGACCTATTCTGCAAGGTCAATAAAATTATCTGAAGAGAGTGCATTTAGGCTGAGACCAGAAGGCTAAGAAGTAGTTAATATAAACAAAGTGGTGCTGGTGTTGGAGAGTTGTTTGTCCAGTAAGTGAGGCCTTGAGGAAGGGAGAGTCTGAGGAGCTAAATGGAGGCCACTGTGGCTGGAATATGTAGTGAGATGGGAAAATGACATGAGAGGGCCTAGAAAAGGCCAAATCATATAGACTATATTGAGAATTCTGGCCCGTCTCTAATCCATTTGATGTTGATACTCCCCCAAAGTGACAAAAAGCTGTTGAATTTAGTGAGGCCCTAACCAACTTAGTGAGATGCTGTCTTGAAATAAAAAATAAAAAGTGCTAGGAGTGTGGCTCAGTGGATTAAAAAAGAAAAAAAACTCTTGAAAACCTTTGTTTAAGTACGGGAATAGAATGATGGGATCGCAAGAGGAGGAGGCAAGAGCTGCTGTGGGGAGACCCGAAAGAGGCCTGTGGCAAAGTTGGGCTAGAGGTGGTGGTTGTCTGGATTTAGGGTACTGCCGGTGAAGAAACAGGTGGTGGATGTAATGGGGAGGGCATCTGCAGAGCTTGAGTGTCAGAGGAAGTAAGAGACAGGATTCAAAAATGGCATACAACTTGAGTTGAGCAACTGAAGGAATGATGGTATCAATGATGACAAGGAACACTGGAGGAACACCAAGTTTTGTGGGGAAGATCATGAATTTGATTTCTCCCTTATTGAGTAAAAGATGTAAGAAATCCAGGTGTAGGAATTAGAATCAAGTGGGCAGTTGGAAATATAGATCTAGATCTAGAGCTCAGAGTAAAACCTGCCTGAGGATAAACATTTGAAATTCACTTTATAAATAAAACTTCACATGGTAAAGATATTAATATTCAAACAACAGCAAAGGACAGGTTTTAAGTGCCTCTTTCAGTCTCTATTTGCCTTCCCAAATGCAGTCATCTTATCCCAGTTCAGTTTTTATTTCCAAAGATATATGCAGCTATGTGAACATGACTATCTTTTGTAAAGCACATAATGGAGGCATGCTGTACCCACTTTGTTTCTTTGCTTTTTCCCTTAAAAATATATTTTATATATCACTGCATATCAGTAAATTTGTTGCTGAATTTTCTTTTTCTTTTTTTGGTGGTACTGGGGATTGACCACAGGGGCATTCTACCACTAAGCCATATCTTTAGTCCTTTTCATTATTTATTTATTTATTTATATATTTAGCGTTTTGCTAGGTTTCAAAACTTGGGATCCTCCTGCCTTGGCATCCTGAGTTGCTGGGATTATAGGTGTGTACCACTGTATCTAGACTAAGTCATTCATTTTTTGAAATTTATTTATTTATTTTAATTAGAAATATATGACAGCAGAATGCATTTTGATTCACTGTACATAATTGCAGCACAACTTTTCATTTCTCTGATTGTACACAATGTAGTGTCACGCCACATGTGCAGTCATACATGTACCTAGGGTAATGATGTCCATCTCATTCCACCATCTTTCCTGCCCCCATGCTTCTCCTCCACTCCCTTCCCTTTGTCCAATCACAGTTCCTCCATTTTCCCCCATACCTCCCCTCCCCCATTATGGATTAGCATCCACTTATATAGAGAACACATTCGGCATTTGGTTTTTTGGGATTGGCTTACTTTGCTTAGCATGATATTCTCCAACTCCATCTATTTACCTGCAAATGCCATGATTTTATTCTCTTTTAATGCTGAATAATATTCCATTGTGTATATACACCACAGTTTCTTTATCCATTCATCTATTGAAGGGCATCTGGGTTGCTTCCAGTTTAACTATCGTGAATTGTACTGCTATAAACATTGATGTGGCTGCGTTATTATAGTATGCAGATTTTTAAGTCCTTTGGGGATAGATTGAGGAGTGGGATAGCTGAGTCAAATGGTGATTCCATTCCAAGTTTTCTGAGGAATCTCCATACTGCTTTCCAGAGTGATTGTACCAATTTGCAGTCCCACCAGCAATGTATGAGTGTGTCTTTTCTCTCACATCCTCACCAATATTTATTATTACTTGTATTTTTATAACTGCTACTCTGACTGGCTTGAGATAAAATCTTAGAGTAGTTTTGATTTGCATTTCTCTAATTACTAAAGATGTTGAACATTTTTTCATATATTTGTTGATCGATTATATTTCTTCTTCTGAGAATTGTCTGTTCAGCTCTTTAGCCCATTTATTGATTGGGTTGTTTGTTTTTTTTTGGTGCTTAGCTTTCTGAGTTCTTTATATATCCTAGAGATTAGTGCTTTGTCTGACGTGCATGTGGCAAAAATCTGCCCAAATGTAGACTGTCTGTTCACCTTATTGTTTCTTTGACTGAGAAGAAGCTTTTTAGTTTGAATCCATCCCATTTATTGATTTTTTATTTTATTTCTTGAGTTTTAGGAGTCTTGTTAAAGAAGTCGGGGCCTAATCCAATGTGATAAAGATTTGGGCCTAATTTTTCCTCTATTAGGAGCAGAGTCTCTGGTCTAATTCCTAGATCCTTGATCTACTTTGAGTTGAGTTTTGTGTGTGGTGAGAGAGAGGGGTTTATTTGCTGCATATGGATTTCCAGTTTTCCCAGCACCATTTGTTGAAGACAGTTTTCCTAGCACCATTTGTTGAAGAGGGTATCTTTTTTCCAATGATTGTTTTGGCACCTTTGTCTAGTATGAGATAACTGTAGTTATGTGGGTTTGTCTCTGTATCCTCTATTCTGCACCATTGGTCTATATATCTATTTTGGTTCATACCATGCTATTTTTGTTACTATAGCTTTATAGTATAGTTTAAGGTCTGGTATTGTGATGACACCTGTTTCATTCTTCTTGCTAAGGATTGCTTTGGCTATTCTGGGTCTCTTATTTTTTCCAAATGAATTTCATGATTGTTTTTTCTATTTCTATAAGGAATGACGTTGGAATTTTAATTGGAATTGCACTGAATCTGTATAGCACTTTGGGTAGTATGGCCATTTTGACAATATTAATTTTGCCTGGGGGCTGGGGATGTGGCTCAAGTGGTAGCGCGCTTGCCTAGCACATGTGAGGCACTGGGTTTGATTCTCAGCACAACATAAAAATGAAATAAAAATATTGTGTCCACCTAAAAAAAATAAAAATAAAAAATAAATATTTTAAAAAATATTAATTTTGCCTATCCAAAAGCATGGGAGATCTTTCCATCTTCTAAGGTTTTCTTCAATTTGTTTCTTTAGTGTTCTGTAGTTTTCATTGTAGAAGTCTTTCACCTCTTTTGTTAAATTGATTCCCAAGTATTTTATTTTATTTTTTGAGGCTAATGAGTCATTCATTTTTAACAGCTGCATAGTGTTTATCTCGTTTTTCTTAAAGTTTGATATTTTGTATAGATAATATATTCATATAGTAAAAAAGCAAAAAGATAAACATATGTGAAAGGAAATTGGCACAGGACTACATAGACACACCAAGGACAAAAACAAAAGCAGATATATTGTCAGGAACCTGTCAAACTCTCTCAGTCAGAGAGAACAGCAACTTCTCTCTCAAGAATTACTTTTAATAGGTGTGGGTTAGGGGCTGGGTTAGCCCTTGTGATTGGCATAGCAAGCGTCACCTGATTTTGGTGAATGCAAGTTTTCATTTCTGAAGACAAAAATAAGCAAGTTTCTGTTTCTCAAGGAAGAAACAGCAGTTATTTCTGAAGAACAGAACTTGAGTCATATAATGGGAGTGGGGAAACGAAGATGGCTATAGTTATGCCAACAGTATGTAGAGGTAGATAGGGAATCCCTATTCTCACTCAACCTAATCCTTTTCCATCCAAGGAAAGCAGTGTAGTTTTTTGGATGGATCCTCCTAGAGATCTTTATACATACTGTTCTTTACCTCCCCCATCACCCAGTGTACCTTGGAGTGCTTTTATTTGAGTATGTGGAGAACTAACTTTTTTCTTCATTTCTTCTTCGCACTCCATTGTAGAAATGTACTGTAACTTATTTAACTATTCTTCCAACTTAGGTTATTTTCAGTATTTTGCTGTTATTAATGATGCTGCAGTGAATAACTTTGTGCCTGAATCATTTCATATATGTGCAGATAAACCTGTGGGATAAATTTCCATAAGTAGGTTTGTACAAAGAGTTCATGCATTTGAGAACTGGGGTTGTGGCTCAGTGTTAGAGTACTTGCCTAGCACATGTGAGGTACTGGGTTTGATCCTGAGTACCATATTAAAAAATAAATAAATAAAAGTATTAAAAACACCCCTCAGTCTTCATTAAAAATAAAGAGTACATGCATATGAAATTTTGATACCTCTTGATAAAGTTACCCTCACAGATACACTAATTTACATTCTCACTAGCAAAGGGTAGGAGTCTGTTTCTCCCTATTCTTTCATCAATTTTTCCAATTCTTTTTTTTGTTGTTGTTCATTGGTTTTGTTTTCCTTGTATAGCTGGGCATTGAACACAGGGCCTCATGTATACTAGGCAAGTACTCTACCACTGAACTGTATCCCCTGACCTCTTTTTTAAAAACATTTTATGTTTGAGACAGCATCTCTATATTGCTGATACTGGCCTCCAACTTTCAATCCTTCTGCCTTAGCCTCTGGAATAGCTGGGATTACTGATGTGTGCCATGGTGTTCTACAAATATTTTGTATTCCCGTAAAAAAATAGTGTCTCATTTTTCTCATATAGGATCTCTTTTATTAAAAAAAATCTATTTAAATATTTTTCTTTTTTCTGAGCCTCTGTTTATGTCCTTTGCTCCTTGTTTTTTTTCTTACCAATTTTTAAGAATTCTTTATATAATAACAAGAATTAACCCTTTGCCTTAAATGAGTTACAGATATTTTTTCCCAGTGCTTCACTCTTTATCAACTTTGCTTGTTTTGCTTGGGACCATTCAGAAATATTTATTATCAGCCAGCTATAGTGGCACATACCTGTAATCCCAGCAACTTAGGAGGCTGACGCAGGAGGATTGCAAGTTCAAGGACAGCCGCAACAATTTAGCAAGGCCCTAAGCAAATTAGTGAGACTCTGTCTCAAAAAATAAAAAGGGCTTAGGTCATGGCTCAGTGGATAAGCACCCCTGGGTTTAAAAAAAGTGTTAAGAAAGATTTATTTATCAACTTTTTATAGTATTTAAGTTCTCAATAGAAATTCTTTATAACTTTGGAATGGAGAATGTTTCTAATTAAGAATTTCTCCCCTGATTTCTTCTAGAACTGCTGTGGTCTTATTTTTTATATTTAAATCTTTGTTCCATTTATAATTATTTTCACATTTGTTTTGAGGTGTGTATCCAACTTTATTCCTTTGGGTGGCTATCTGCTTGTCCCTGTAGTGATTATTAGGTATTCATCTTAGCCTCACCAGGGCACAGTGTCCCTTTTCCCTGTACTAGGGCTTAGAATGAATCTACTCTCTGATAGCACCAGTCCTCCCAAGCTCCTACCTTGCCCTTCCTTTCCTGAGATTTTTCAGAATATTTTTCCTTGTCTATTTTCTGTGTGAAATTTAGGATCAGATTTTCTAGTTCAATTAAGAATTTGTTAGTATTTTTATTAAATTTTTTTTTCATATTGGGGATTAACCATTGAGCTATAGCCCTAACCCTTTTTATATTTACTTCTTTTAAATATAGGAAGACAGGGTCTCACTAAGTTCTTAGGGTCTCACTAAATTGCTGAGGCTAGCCTCATCCTGGACTGGGATTGTGACTCAGTAGTGGAGCACTTGCCTGGTATATGTGAGGTACAGGGTTCGATTTTCAGCACCACATACAAATAAATAAAATAAAGGGTCCACTGACAACTAAAAAAGATATTAAACAAACAACCCCTCGCAAAAAAAAAAAAAAAAAAAAAAAAAACCCCCCCCCAAAAAAAAAAAAAAAAAAAAAAAAAACCTAACTTGCAATCTTCCTTTTCATTATCCGCCAAAAGAAACCCCATGCCACTCATCATTTCTCCCCAAACCTACCATTCCCCAACCTTAGGCAACCTCTAATTTATTTTCTGTCTCTACAGAAAGATTTGATTATTCTGGACATTTAATATAAATGGGATCATATGATGACTGGTCTTTTTTCACTGACTTCTTTCTCTTAGCATAATATTTTTCAGGATTTATTAGTTTCCTAGAATCTCTGTAACGAATTACTGCAAACAGGGTAGCTTAGAACAATAGAAATTTACCCTGTCATAAATTTGGAGGCTACAAGTTTGAAATCATGGTTAGCAACACTAGGCTCCCTCAGAAAGCTCTTGGAGAGAATCTGTTCCATGGTTTTCTCTGAGCTTCTGGTGGTCACCAGCAATCCATGGCATTCTTAGACTTGTAGCTGCATCTCTACAATCTCTCCCGGTCTTTATATGTTGTTCTCCATGTATGTGTGTCTCCTGTGTCTTCACATGACTTTCTTATAATGTCATCAATCACTGGATTTAGGGCCTACTCTAATCCAGGATTATCTTGACTACTGAATTAAGATTATATTCATAGATACTTGGGTTAGAGCTTCAACATATCTTTTACTGGAGACAGTAATTCAATCCATAATATGGATGCATTCATTTGTAGCATATATCAAAATTTCATTCTTTTTTTTCTGGCCAAATAATCTTGCATTGTATGAACAGACCACACTTTGTTTATCTGTTCATCAATTGATGGACATTAAGGTTGTCTATCAGGTTGTGTCTGTCATTTTGTCACTTATGATTATTGCCGTCATGAACATTCCTGTGGAAGGTTTTTTTTGTTTGTTTGTTTGGTTTTTTTAAAAGATTCAATGCTGGGGACTGGGTTGTGGTCAATGGTAGAGCGCTTGCCTAGCATGTGTGAGGTACTGGGTTTGATTCTCAGCACCACATAAAAATAAATAAAATAAAGGTCCATTGAGAACTAAGAAAATATTAAAAAAAGATTCGATACTGTATTTCTGTTGATAGTAAATCAAAATATGTTTTAGCAATAGCATTAATTTAATGTTTTTTTTAAATTAACATTTTTTTCATTTCTTCTGGGTTTGAATCACTGGATCATAGAACTGCCAGACTATTTTTCAAAGTGGCTACACTATATGCATTCCCGTCAGCAGTATTTAAGCAGTATATATGTTTCTCTACATTGTTCCCTAACAACTATTTACATACTACTTCATGGCATTAGGTGTTATAATAACATAGAGATTATTTAAAGTACTTAGGAAAAAGTGGAGTGTTTGCATGGATTATATGCAAATATTTGTGTTTAAGTGACTTGGACATCCTCAGAAGGTCCTGGAACCAGTTCCTTGCACAAGCTAAGGAATGACTGGTTTTGGTTGTAGCCACCAGAGAGGATATGATGTGGTACTACATGGTTTTAGTTGCATTTCCCTGATGGCCATTTGTGGATTTTTCTTTGGAGATATGTCTATTCAGATCTTTTGCTCATTTTTTTAAAAATTGAAGTTTTGTCTTTGAGTTCTTTATATATTCTAGTAAAAGTCCTTCATCAGGTATAATTTACAAAATTTTCCCCACATGTGTGTTGTCTTTTCGCTGTCCCTTTGCAGCACAAAGTGGGTGTTTGTGTTGTTGTTGTTGTTTGGGATTGAACCCAGAGTGTTCTACTACTGAACAATATCCCCTTTTATTTTTTTATTTGAGACAGGGTCTTACCAAGTTGCTGGCCTAAAACTTGAGATCTTTCTTCCTCAGCCTCCCTAGTTGCTGGGATTACAGGTGTGAGTCACCATGCCCAGCTGATAAAATATCTCCACAGTATATCAACTAATATTCTCAATTGATAATATGTAACAGTTCCTACTTACATACCTACAGTGCCTACCATACTTTGCTTAACAGTATTATCAAGGTTCTTTAGTCTTTACTAATATTATAGTATTTTAGTTATATAGTTCTATTCTTGTGTCTGACATTGTCAATTTTTTATGGTGACTAATTGTACCCTATGTTCATTTTTCTATTTGATTATTGGGCCTTTTATTTTTTGTGGCCCTTCTGCATATTAAGAAAATATCCATTTTTGTTATTTGAGCTGCCAGTTGTTTTTCCAGTTGTAAATTTGTTTTTCAAGATATTAATTATTGAACTGGGGGTGTAGCTCAGTGGTAGATTGTTTACTTAGCATGTACGAGGTCCTTGGTTCAATCCTCTCGCCATTTATTTATTTATTTAGAGAGAATTTTTTTTTAATATTTATTTTTTAGTTTTCGGCAGACACAACATCTTTGTTTGTATGTGGTGCTGAGGATCGAACCTGGGCCGCACACATGCCAGGCGAGCGCGCTGCTGCTTGAGCCCCATCGCCAGCCCCATCGCCATGTATTTATTATGTGCAAAAAATTTTGCCCTGTTTAGAAAGGCACTTACCCCCCTCTATGAGTTTTTTAAGTTATATTTTTTATAATAATGTTATACTTCCCCACCCCCAATATATCATTGATCCATAAAGCATAAATGATTTATTTTGGCATGACCTCTGTTCTTCAGGGGGACTCAAACTTGCCTGATTCCAGAGACACCTGGATAGGGGATGGGCAGGCCCATTCTGCAGTGAGGAACCTGTATCTGGCTGGATCTGTCTGGAAGAATTCAGCTTACCGTGAGTGGCAGGGGGGTGAGGCATAGATATCTGCCTGGTTTGGGGACTTACTTATGCCTACTGTATCATAGGGAGTCACTGGCCAGAAACTGTCAGTCCAGTGTCCCTACCCCTGATAGGGAGCTGTTGCTGTCATGAGGCCCTGACATTCGGTGCTATCCCAGAACTTCCACCTCTTTATTATAGGCTATAGAACCTCCTCAGGCAATTGCCGCTGTTTTCCATCCAGCCCATCCAGCTTCTCCTCTTCTTACCAGGATTTGGCCAAACACATGGTAGATACTTCCATGGCTGATGTGAGTATTTGCTCTCACTCTTCCCCATCACTGCTTTAGCCAGACCTCTGCTAGGTGGGGAGGAAGAGGAAAAGAGCTGGGCAAATGAGGGCCACCAAGGCTTGTAGACTTCTTCAGTGGTTTTCCATCTTGAAAAATGTATATTTATTAAACACTGATCAGAAAGTTGAACGTAGAGGCTGGGATATACTGTGCCTACTAATTTGGTTATGGCTGCTCTGTCCCCAGGTAATGGCTGCTTGTTCCAATAATCTACACAATCTCTTCAGCCGCCAGGCAACAGCTGGCTGGAGGTAAGTTTCTTTGCAGTGTTCTTGATCCTAACCCTGTTGTCCTGCTTGGCTTCTCTTCTCCTTCCCCTTCTCCACCTTGCCTTCCTGGAGTCTCTTAACCTGATTTCCTCCTTTGTATCTTAGGAACCCTCTTAAAACAAAACAAAACAAAAAAAAAAACCAACTCTTCATTTTTCCTCTTTCCAATCCTTGGTGTCCCTTAGCTATCAGGGTGAAGAGCAGGAGGTGCACCTTTACTATAAGGAGTTTTCTTCTACTCGGCATGGCTTCCTAGGGGCAGGTGTGGTGTCCCAGCCACTATCTCATGTATGGGCAGCTGTGAGTGACCCTACCCTGTGGCCCCTGTATCACAAGCCCATTCAGACAGCAAGGCTACATCAGCGGGTGAACAAGAGCATCAGCCTAGGTGAGCCCAAGGGAGGGAGGCTCCCATGGGGCCTGGTTTCTGGTGTGTCCCATGATCTCTGGCCAGGGGACAGAGGCAGAGGGTTGGAGGCAGCCTTATTGAGAGACCAGATACTTGGCCTACTTCCAGATTGTTTATCCAAGATTTCATTGGATGTCAAGTCATAGGATGAAGGGGAGGTTCCTAGGCTAAAGAAGACTTGGGACTAGATCTGTCAATGGGCCTCCTGACTCTGCTTTACCTCCACCCCTCCAGTGTACTTGGTGTGCGATACCACCGTGTGTGCACTGAAGCAACCACGGGATTTCTGTTGTGTCTGCGTGGAAGCCAAAGAGGTGCCTGCCTTGCTGGTGGTAATCTATGGGAATTGGTTTCTCTGGTGGGGATGAGGGCAAATTGCGGCTGGGTCTAGGTCATGGGTGGCTTCAAGGCAAGCCCAGTGTTGACTTCTACTATACTAATTACACTTGAGCCTGTTCCTGATTTTTCCTCATTACATCTCTGTCTGCAGGGGCACCTGTCTATCATGGCAGTTCAGTCTGTATATGACACATCCATGCCAAGACCCAACAGAAAAATGGTCCGAGGGGAAATACTGCCCAGTGCCTGGATCCTGCAGCCTGTCACCATGGAAGGGAAAGAAATTACCAGAGTCATTTACTTGGCACAGGTGATATAGAGCTAGTAGCCAGCCTTGTAACATACTTGGGACCTCTCTGTCTAGCTGTGTTCTAAAAAAATGTGGCCAGGAACTTCTTGGGTTCAAAGTAAAGGAGTCAGTAGAAAATCAGAGGAAGGAATGAGTGTTGTCAGCTGAAGTTGCTAGTACCAGAGTCTAGTAGTAATCTACATCTTGTGGTTGTCCCCAGGGTCCTTAGAAGACATATCATTGCAAGGTAAAAGCAGCAGCCTCAGCAGAGCAAAATCATTGTTCATAGAGAGAGTTCAAGTCCAAATGGGAGTGGAACTGAACCAATCAGTGGGAGGTGAAGAGCAGAGCCCAGGGGTCTTAGACACCAAGCCAGTGGAGTCTGGGGTGAATCTCCCATCACCTCATCCCAGGTGCTTGGGGCTACAGTGGCCCTGGCACCTCCAGCTGTTTATACCTTCATCTCTTCCTTTTCTGCTTTCAGGTAGAACTGGGTGCACCAGGCTTCCCGCCTCATCTCCTGAGCTCCTTCATTAAGCAGCAACCACTGGTTGTGGCCAGGCTAGCTTCCTTCCTTGGTAGTTAGCACCACACCAGTGAGATGGTGCTGCTGAGATGCAGGCCCAGGATGCTCCAGAAATGCTATGGCTGCTCCTCCTTAACTGTTAGCAACCTGAGATGAAAAGAAACTGAGGCTACCTGTAGTGGCAGACTACACAGATAGCACTAGCCCAGGGTTGCCAGGAAAGCCCTGTCTCAGTACTCGAGTCACCTCTGCAGAACAAGAAGCCTGAGCTCCTGGCCCTCGCTGTCCAGAGAGAATGAAGCACTCACTTTTTGGATTTCTCACCTTTATTTCTCATTTCTGGGACTATGACACAGGCCTCTCAAGGACCAGAGTTAGGCATAATCAGCAGAGCTGGGGAACTGCAGTGCTTTGGCAAGATGCCTTCTTAGTTCGGCCCAGCCCTCAGGCTGATGGGAAGGCAAGCAGCCACTGGCCAAGACTCCACTCTGGAGCTGCCTCCAGTGTTCAGCTCCACCGTGTAGAATATCACAAAGGACCAGAACAAAAAAAAGGCTTAAAAAATCAGCTGCACAAATCACAACACAGACTCAGAATCTTTTCTCCAAATACTATTCACTTTTGCTCCCCCCCCCCTTTCCTAGGAGAGGATTTGGGTCTTTGCAGCAGTCAGGAGTGTTAAGCACTACTGCTTCAGAGCACTTCAGGGCTCAGGAAGATGGGAAAGCAGCGTAGATACAGCCTGGACAGATTTCAGGTTGGGATGTGGGCCCTGGCCCTTTGAGGACTGGTGGTAGGTGGGGGTAGCCAGATGATTGCTACTGACAAGGCAAGAGGGATTTCAATGAGATTAAAAAATGACCTCTGAAGAAGGAAGATAAATGAACTGGAAGAGGAGGTAAGCAGTTTGTCAGGAGGAAACTTGATTGCAGAGACCTTACCTTCCCTTACGCGGAGGTGAGTCCCTTGAGCTACTGCTCTGGCCCTACCAATTCTAGGATGGATGAAGGGCGGATTGTTTTCTCGTAACTTAGCCTGGCTGAATTTGAGCTCTGAAGATTCTGTATGTTTACCTAGAGGTGATAGGGACGGGAGAAATTCCCATTTAATTTTCTTGCCCCAAATCTTTGGTAACAAAGAGGATAATTGTATGGGGATTGAGATGTGGTTAAAAGGGTAAATTTCTGTACAGTGCAGCAAAGAGTTGCTTTTCTAAAAATGTTTGTTTCCTTTTTCTCTTACCTCAGATTAAGTTATATTGTTTTTATCATATGCTTTTAAAAAGCTTATTTTTCAGTTATTTTTTTTTAACAGCGTATATATGTAGGACCCTAATTTATGTATTCTTCCCCTCCTCATAAAATTGTTGACCAAAAAAAAGGTCAGAACATTTGTAAATTAAAAGTCCCACGCAGGGGCGCTGGGGTTGTGGCTCAGCAATAGATCACTCACTTAGCACATGAAGGGTGCTGGGTTCAACTCAGTACCACATAAAAATCAAATAAAGGTATTGTGTCCAACTATAACAAAATATTTAAAAATTAAAAAAAAAAGTCCCATGCAGAGCCAGGAACCAGTAACACACCTATAATCCCAGTAGTTTCGGAGGCTGAGGCAGAAGGATTGCAACACCAGCCTCAGCAACTTAGTGAGACCATCTTTAAAAATAAAAATAAATCCCATGTGGGAGGCATGGTTCAGTGGTATGCTCAGTGCCTAGTGTGGATGGATGAAGTGACCTGAGTTTGATCTCCAGTACCAAAAATCAAAACCACTTTTTCAAATTCCCAAGCATTCAGAAAAGACTAGACTTCCTATGGCTTGGGAGGCTAAGGCAAGGCTCTAAAGCAACTTAGTGAGAACCTGTCTCAAAAAAGGGCTGAGGATGCGGCTCAGTGGTTAAGTGACCTTGGTTTTAATCCCTGGTACTGATCTAAATATATATATATATTGGATTTACAGGATCAAAAAAAAGAAGAGATTAGGAAAGAAGGTTCAGATAAAGAAACTTTAAATGGGATAAGCCTGATGGGAAGGGAAAGGCATGGACTGATAAACAATATTGGGGAGAAGTAGGACTGAGAAACACTCCTATTTTTCAATGTTGATGTGACTTCCCTGTTTTGTACATGGGGCTCCCTCTAGCCCAGAGAATCTTACTCTTTCTTGGGTTTGAGACCTTTCTGATAGGAAAGCCACTTAGCAAGAGCTAAATCCCCTCTTCTTCCCCCAGCAGAGCCTGGGTGTTACTTCCCAGGAATTACCTTAATGCATATTATCAAAGTTCATAATTATCAAGACCACATCTCTTATAAAATGAACTTTTACAATTATAAAAGTTTATAATTATATTAGGCTGCTCGTGCTCTGAGACATTCTGAGCCAAATCAGACACTATAGCCCTAACAAAACATCGCAAAAGCTGCCTCACCATGTGGTGCAACGGAACATCTTGTGAATGGAACCTGCACAATGCCCTAAATGTCTAAACTTTCCGAGGGAGTTGCACAGGAGATGATACTGCATTTCAGGGGTGTGAGATGATCTTGCTGCTTGGATATGCAGGTGTTACTTAGAGGTCATAACTCCCAACTCAAGGCCCACCTGCCAAAGGGGAAAAACAGGCAAGAACAGTCATCAAACCTTTGTTAAAACAGTTTATTCTGTTTTGCTTCCCTGTGCATGTCCCCGAACAGACCAAATCTGAAGTGTCAATACCTGCACAGGGGTGAAGTCCAGGGTGATGCCAGGTTTCAGTTGGGCAAGTCCTACCTAATCTGTTGTGCATATTTAACATGGCAGTCCAGGTTTTAACAAGTTAGGCAGAAGTCATTCAACTCTGTCATGATTTCTCAGAACCACAAAGTTTTGAGAGATCTGAGATAGCAGCAAGTGAGGTCTGAATCCTGTATTGACCAGCCCACACTCCTCATTTCATTTCGCATCCATGTGGCAAATGTCAGCTCTTCAGCTCCTGGGTTAGAGTCTCAGCTTTTCCACCTTCATGCTGAATTAGTGGCTGTTTCTTCCTCTAGGATTCGGGTGGCAAGCCTGCAGTCTGTGGGATGCCCAGTAACCACATACTTCTCACCTGAGCAGGAAATCTGATCACAGACCCAGCTACTCCTACCCCAGCAAGGGTTGCCGAGGGCTATTGGGGCTCCACCTGAGGCATAGGCAGGATTCCAGGGTTCTGGTGAGACGCCCAAAACAGGGCCACTTCCCAGCCCTAGCTTTGGGCCAGCACTGTCCCCCTATTTGGCTGTACCAGTTCACAAGTTCTCCGCTGAGGTTCTGGCATGTGAGGCTCAGCTAGAAACAGGTTAAACAGTGTTGCTAGTTCTTCAGAGAAGTCCTGCAGTACGTAGAAAGGTGCGAGAAAAGGCAGACATGGAATTCTGGACACATCCACCCTTTCTAAAGATCAGTCTCTAGCTAATTGGTGAGTAGACAACAACCTGGCGCACAGCTGTTTCATCTTGAAATTATTAATTCTGGTTTTTTTTTTGGGGGGGGAGGGCGGTGGGAGTACCGGGGATTGAATTCATTGAGCCACATCCCTAGCCCTGTTTTATATTTTAGTTAGAGGCAGGGGCTTAGTGCTTTGCTTTTTACTGAGGCTGGCTTTGAACTCACTATCCTCCCGCTTCAGCCTCTCAGGCCATTGGGATTACAGGAGTATGCCACCATGCCCAGTATTATTTTAAGGATGAAAAAAACTAATTTGTGCCAAGTCACAAATTTAACTAGTAACTGAGTCCAGGTTATTCTGATGAGACTCAAGACCTATATATACTGTACCATCCTGCTTTCCACCTGCCTGCCTTCCCTCACAACAAGCCCTTCATACAGCAGCCAGCGGCCACTCAGATCTGAAGAAGGTCAACTCTAACAGCTACTCCTCAATTATAGGGTTGTCCACTTAGCTTTGGTTCCATCACTTTGCCCCATTTCAGGATAAATGGGATATAGGACACCTGATATCTTTATTTAAGGACTTCTTACCCCAGGCCACTGGGCCTCATGAAGGCTGCCTAGGCAGGCTTCTATCTCCATCCGTCCCATCAGACCTTTCTCTACCAGCTCCCGAAGTAAGAACAGCAGCAGGTCCCACTGCAAAACACACCATGGGGAAGCTCAGCATTTTGAGGACTATATAGTTAAACCCTGATTAGTACAAACTGAAATCTAAAGGGCCGAGCTGCTGAGAAATGGAGGCTCGAGACAAGCATAGGGAGTCCCATTTCAACATGGAATAGGAATAAAGGAAATAAATTCACTCCACAAACTTTATCCTAAAGAATTAAAGTCAGCATACTATAGCAATACACACACATTTATAGTATCACAATAGCCAAACTATGGAGCCAGCCTGTATGATCATCAATGAATGAATAGATAAATATAATGTGATACACACACAGTGGTGTCTATTCAACCATAAAAAGGTTGCAGGAAAATGGATGGAACTTGATATATATCAAGCCAAACTCAGAAAAGTCAAGAGTTGTGTTTTTTCTCATATGTGGAAGCTAGAGAGGGAAAAGAAAAGTTGGTGGGGTAGGAAAATCCCATGAAAATCAAAGAGATCAGTAAAGGGACCAGGGGGAAGGAAGGAAAGAGAAAATACAGGGGAATGATATTGGCCAAATTAAATTGTTACATTGTATGCATGTATGAATATGGAAGAGTGATTCCTACCATTCTGTAAACTATAATGCACCAATAAAAAATATGCAAGAAAAGGAAAGGAAAAAACAGCTCCCTAATACTATCAAAATAAGACTACAGAAGACTAAGAAGCTTTCCTATTCTCACCAGGCCTAATCTCAGAAACTCAGGAGACTGAGGCAGGAGGACTGTAAGTTGGAGGCCAGCCTCAGCAATTTAGCTAGACTCTGTCTCAAAAGGACTGGGGATATAGCTAAAGCAGCCATGGGTTCAATCTTCAGTACAAAAAAAAAAAAAGCTTTCCTACCTGCTACTTCTGACTCACCTCCCTTGGCCGAGTATCTGCCAGAAGCCCCACATTTCTTGGGCTCAGTAGCAGCTGTAGTGGAACTGGACCTTGGAAGTCATCTTTCCACAGGGAAAGCAGCATGTGCAGAAGCCTTCGAGCCTGCCCTCGCTCCAGCCTGTGCTGTGGTGGAGGCCCTAGGACAGGGATCTGGTCTGCAACTATGGGACATGATGGAAGCCAAATTTTTTAAAAATAGAGGCAGAAAAGAGATATGTCTAATCCTGCTTATACCCAACCTTGATTTTGAGGGGATATAACAAGAGAGAAGGGGTTTGACAGAAAGGAACCATACCCAGGAGGGAAGCTAACTCCACAGAGCACTTTGCCAGATGCTGCTCAGCAGGTGGGCACAGGAACTGAGAGAAAAAGGGAGACATGAACGTTATCCTTACTGCTGTGAAGACTGTCCCTGGGACAGTGTGGCTCTACTTATAAGGCAACAGAAGACCATTCTTCATGTAGCACATGACATGTCTCACCTGACGGCACCGTAGTGTCTGGCCCATCTGGCCTAGGAGCTGCTCCAGATGCTCTGGGGAAACACCCTCATCAGGGTCTCGGGGCCCAGCAGCCAGAGAGAGCACATCCTGCAGAGAACAGGATAAGACCTCATGCCAGGCTGGGACTAGGCTGCCAGAGAATTTGGATTGGGGTGGGGACCAGCCAGTAGAGTGAGTGAGAAGGAAAAGGAAAATATGGTCCTGGGGTTGAAGCATCTGGACCAAGAGATCCCTGGAGCTGGGGTTCAGGAAGGACAATACAGCTAGGAGAAGCAACCATGTGGGTAACCCAAGAGGAAACAGATGAAGCAGATAAGCCAAAGGACAATGGGCTACCACAGAGCTTAAGAGACAGTTTTCAACATGGGTCAAAACTAACCAACTCCTAGGGGGCATCTTATAGCGTTTTGGGAAACTGTCCCATGAGATACACAGTCAATGTTTTCTAACCCTCATGCTTCCATTTTCTCAGGTTTCAATACAAAAATTTGCCTACTGATAACCAGTATTTAGTGGTCATATGTCTTTTCCTCTCTCCCCTACATACTCTCCATTGTTAGTCACTGCTTCTTTGTCCTTATTCCGCATCTTTATTCCTTGACCAAGGCCAGATAGTAAATACATTAGGTTTGCAAGTCATAAGATCTCTGTTCTAACTACTATGCCATTTTAACACAAAAGCAACACGGACATTTGGTAAACAAATGGCTATAGCTGTGTTCCAATAAAACTTTATTTGCAAAAGTAAGTGGCAAGCACAGTTGGGCCCATTTTGCCGACCCCTACTCTAAAAAGTCTCTGAATATTTCAAACCAAGTTAGGAGTACAGTTTATTCTTATTGCCTGTAACTAAACAAGCATTATGTCCCACATAGAAGAACAGTACTGAATTGATATCCATAGCCATTTACCAGCTGCTCCCACTACAACTTGTATAATATAAATTTAGTTTTAGATTTTCCTTCTTGCCCTTTTAGGTGATTCAGGTACTAAAGTCAGTAACATTAGGAAAACCATTTGATTCAGCTCTGCTCTACCTAATCCTATTCAGTAATGAAAGAAACAAAAACTAGACAGGTAACACATAAAGCTTCTATACAGAAATCCTGGAGCTGATGTGAGAAAGGAAAGAAACCAGCAACAGAGCAAGGAAAAGGAATGGGGAAGCCAAAGGGAGTAGGGTAGCTGTGTACTTTTATCTCGGAGATGAGGTGGGAGGGGAGGGGAGCGTGGTGCTCACAGGCGCGGGAGCAGCCCCTCCGCTCCCCCCGGGCAGCCGGTTCAGGACCCTGGGCTCGAAGTGTGCGACTCACAGCCGCTTTCACCTCCCTCCTAATCAGTGCTACAGGGCAGAGGGAGAACAGAAACAGGGTTACAGGAGTGCCCACCCAAGCTCACCATGCCAACCCATGTCCTTCACAGTTTCCAGATGGCTCTGAGTCTCATCACCCCAAACTGCCCAGCACCCTGCCAATCCACCTTTCCAAATCTGATTCAGTCCCCCACTTTCCTGGACCTAACCTGTAATGTTGGCCGACAGCCAGGCACATGCTTTTTCTGTTGCAAGCCCCACAGCTATGTTCTCTGCACTGCTTAGTACCTGTGACAGAAGAACTATAGAGTCAGGACAGAGAAGGGTTGGGTACAATGATGGATACCAGAGTTCAGGACTAATTCCCCACCTTATAGCAGCTGCATACACAGCTACAGGTATGTACTCTTTCATGCATACACACACAAACACAACCACTGGTCTGCTAGCTCAGGCCTTATTCCTACGTACAGCTGCTGGGGTCTCCTCTGGAAGCAGTGCCCGCACAGCCCCAGGGCTCTTCCTTTGGCAGAACCTGAAAGACGGATTTCAGGGAAGTCTATATATTTTAGCTTGAGCACACCCCAAATGCTCCAAACCCCTGACATGGGAGTCTCTACCTCAGACCCCTACCCTGCCCCAGATGCTGGAGGAAGGAAAAAGCCATTAGTCCTACAGCATTACATACTCTCTCAATTCAACATTTGGACTTTGTGCCCAAAGATATGAACCTATAGAGAAGGGTAAAAAAGAACAGAAAATGGGGTGGAGAATAAAGGTTATGAGTGTGAAAGAAGAAAGAGTAGAGAGAGAACAGAAAAACAAAAGCTAAGATAGGAGAGTAGAGGAAATGAAAGGGTCCAAATAGATTGGCATTTCTTACTCCCGCCCCTGGCTCAATGCCTGGGTCCCATGGGGACACAGCTGGGAACACAAGATCTCCAACAACTGGGCTGGATCTCCCCCTTTCTGTCCCTGTGTCACCCGCTGCTCCTGAAGAAGTGACTCTGCCTGGCGCACCAGATCTGCCACCAGCGTCGCCCTGCAGCAGGGACAGAGGGTTTTGGGGTAGTTGGAAGGGATGAGTTGGAAAGGGACTGCAAATTCAAGGAAATTTGGTCAGAACTACCTTCAAGGAATATTAGCAATTTCAGCCTTCCCTTTCCACCCACCCCACAGTTGACTTTCCTCAGTTTGACAAAAAGCCATTAAAAGGGACCAGACCTGGTGGCCTATAATTCCAAAGACTCAGGAGACTAAGGCAGAAAGATTGCAAATTCAAGGATAGCCTGGGCAACTTAATGATACCCTTTCTCAAAAATAGAAAGGGCTGGGGATATAGCTCAGCTGTAGAGCCCCTGGGTTCAATCCCCAATTACTACCACCACCACCACCACAACAAAAAAATTAAAAGGAGGCTGAGGTATACTCAGTGGTAGAGCACTTCCTTAGTGGGCACAAGGCCCGGGGTTGGATCCCCAGCAACACATGTGTGTGAGCACAAAAGAAAAAAAGGGAGTTAAGAGGGCAAATGGAAAGAGATTGAGAATAGGACCCTCACCCACTCTTACTTGATGTGTTTGACACAGTTTGAGCCAATTCTCTCTGCCACAAACTCCACAGTCCTGCGCAGGGAAGGTGGCTGGTTGTGGAAAAAGGCCTGGGCAAGCTGTGCCTAGGGAAGGAAGGAGCAGCCTCATGAGGGATTCCTTCTGCCTCCCCACACTGGGCAGTCTCTGCCCTCTCCCTATTCTTACCTGCAGCCCCTGGCTGGTCTGGGGAGCCTGGGCTCCCAGGCCAGTAGTGGTAGTGGGGGTGATTTTCCTCACGAAGCCCCCACTCCGTCCACTACTGCCTGAAACCCATGAAGCGAGCAGTTTCCGGAGCTCTCCTGTATCAGGAAAGTCTAAGGTATTAGTTTCAGAGTCCTCCTCACCCCCTAAGAATGCAGGACTATAAGTACTTGTGGGATAAAAGATATGGCACCTGGAGAGCCTCATGAAAGACCAAGGTATTGGGGAATCAGACCAATGGGGTATCTGATAGGTACTCATGAAAGGACAGGCCAAGGACTGTTAAGGGGGATAGGATGCTCACCGATGTAGGGGCAGCAGATGTAGAGCAGCTGCTGATCCACCACAGGCACACTGTCCTGGGGGAGAAGAGGCCAGGGCTGGTAGGGCAGGCAAGCAGGTTTCCTTTCCTCCCCAGCATGCTCAGGGGTAGGACAGTCAGGAGATGTGTAAGGGTTGAACAACTACCACAGTCTGTCTTCTGCTGGGCCCTCCCAGACAGACCACATCTCTGGCTACACCCCAACACTCACCAAGCCATGCTCTGAAGCTGCTGTGTCCACCTCTAATGCATCCACTTGACCTTCTTCCAGAAAAAATAGATCCTCAGGGAATGTGGGAATCTGACAAGAGAGCAAAGCAGCCAAAGCTCCACCCAGCACTTCTGAGACTCACCACACCTCTGACCTCACCAGGGGCAGTGGTGGTCCTCTGAAGAACCTTCATCTTTTGGCCCCTACCTTGGTCACACTCTAGTGCTCTTGTCCCCATCTCTACCACAGTAGTCACCATACCTCATCTGGACCCTCACTCTGCCCACCTGGAAGAGCCAGCCCAGGACAGCAAGCAGAAGCAGCTTGTTTAGGAAACACATCTCCCCTTCATTGTCCTGAGATAAGACCAAGCTCCTAAAAGGTAAATGGAGGGTGTGAACAGAATTCATGCAAAGGATGGAATGGAGTAATGGAAAGCTACCATGGGGAAAATGGTTCTCAAAAGCAGACATAAAACGGACTACATAGGCAACCAGGGTTGCCTTGGCAGCCCCTGCTATATGTATTCTCTCTTGGCTGGGCCATAGGAGAAAGGTAAACAATTGTCTAGTCTGTCTCTGTCAGTCAACCTCTGCCCTTCCTCCAAGGCTCAGCTATGGAACCACACATGAAGTTCACTATTTGATCCTCTTTATAAATAGGACTGAGCAATGTTCACACTTTCTTTTCTTGAGCCTTAGCCTTGCTTTACTCACCGATGTACATGCAGCAGGAGAGTAAAGATGCTCCGGTAATAGTCCAGCAAGGGGACAATGTGATCAGCAAAGGAAAGGAACTCCACCAGCCAGGGCACAGTGAGCACTGCCCGGCGGGCCCTCAGCCCCTGCTGCAGCAGAGCTTGAACATCCAGGACAGGAGGGACCTGGGAGAGCCAGGCTCAGTCAGTGATTGGCCCCTAGAAGGGGCTGGATGATGCCCTCTACCTGCCAGGTTTCCAGAATAGCCAAGGAAACCAGTCAACCTCTGTGCCTTGCTGGACCTCCCAGCTCCCTCCTTACCAGGTTCTCCCAATCATTCACCTGGCTCCTGAGGGCCAGAATGGAATCTTGAAGCTCACGGGTTGGGGGTGGTTCAGGGCCCCGGTATGGCAAGAAAGCCACAAAGCCCAGAAACTTGGCCAAAAGTCTGAGGCTAAGAAGCACCACAGCAAATTGCCTCCGTGCACCCTGCAAGGCACCAAGGGAAGTAAAAGGTCCTAAGTATAAGCCTCCTAGAATAATTATAAATCTGTTGTCTTTGTACTTATCCCTTCCCTCGTAAGTCAGACTCTGTTTATTTCCCTTGTCCTGCTTTCTAACCTGCCAGTCTACATCTGACTCTCCATCTTCATCACCAGGCTCATGTTGAGGCAGGGCAAGGCCATTAAGTTCCCGTATCTTCAAGCTCAGACTATCCATGAGATGTTGATTAAACTGGAAGCTGAAGTGGGGGGTTGGGAAGCACAAAAAAAAAAAAAAAAAAAACCAAAGAAAAGAAAAAAAAAGTACTAGAGATGTAGGAAGAACTAGAATGTACCCCATACAAAAAAAGATCTACATGATAGATGGTGAGGCTGAGAAATAATGAAATTACCTACATGGGTGAAAGAATGAGAAATGAAATGAAGTTAGAAAGTGTGAGCTGAAAGGAGCCAGAGATCACTTACTTCTACTCTGTTATTTATTCCAGGCAAAGGAGAGAGAGTGATTTGCTCTTCTGGGAAGCCAAACCTCTCCCACCCTGACCCTGCCTTTGCAAGACACAGGGGAACTTACCTGCTGGCACTTAGGATGAAGTCCCTGAAGAAGCCTTGACAGCCTGGAAAGGTGGGGGGTGGACAGGGCCCCCCACTGCTCTGAGGAGCCACAAGTCGTTCCTGTAGTCGCCGCAGCCGCCCCAGCTTGTCAGCTCCTAGCATACTCAACACATCTGGGGCCTCACCCAAGACAGTGCCCCCAGCACCACCAGGGCTCTGACACATCTGGGGTGATGGAAAGGAAGGAAATTGAAAACAAGTGAAAAGGACTGACCAAAATAAGCACAAAGTAATGAACATTTATGAAATGCCAACTCCATGTTAGGCACTTTGGACAGTTTTTGAGGGAGGAATTATATTCCTCTTCTAAAGGTGAAGAAACTGAAATTGCAAGTATAACCATGTGCCTAGAATTGCTGGAGTTAGGATTTGAAGAGACCTGACTACCAAGCTCAGCTTTCTACCACAGCACCAAACAAGAAAAAGGAGGTAACATTTGAGGCCCACCTGGGCAACTTAGTGAGACCCTATTTCAAGATAAAAAAATAAAAGGGCTGGGGACATAGCTTAGTGGTAGAGCAGTCCTGGGTTCAATCCCCAGAACCACACACACACACAGAATGAAATAGATCAGGGAAGGGCAAAAGGTGCAGGGCACATCAGAGAGCATTCTGTTTTTTTCTCTGCCACCTGAGTTTAACTGCCACCTAAGGGCCTACTTGGCTATCCACACTGTCCAGGGTGCCATCCTTTACTTGGCTGCTTACAATACCCGCAGTTTGCTGTAGATTAATTTCTTGAGAAGCTATTACCTGGAGAAGTTGTTTTTGGAAAAGCCGTACAAAGTGGCTATGGCTGCAGGCCGCAGACAGTTGACCCATCATGGCTCTGAGGAACAAGAAGCAGGTGTAGAGTGTGTGGGAAGGAAGTAAGACAAAGATCTGAGCAAGCAAGCCAATCCTCGGGCTTTTCAGCTGTTTACCAGGTACTTGAACAGACCTTTTCCAGAGCTGGCCTGCATAGGGGCATGGGAGAAGGTAAAGGACACCCTCAGCACTAAGATCCCTCAAGGCTAAAGATACACTTAACAAAACAAGAAATGCCACCTCTTAAATCTTCAGGCCACACTAAGTGCCAGTGTACTTCAAGACCAATGTGGACTAAAGGTATGTGGACCATATACCTTGACCACTTCAAGGTATGTGGTTAGAAAATACTCTTTCTGCAGCCTAGTCATCTATCTATGCAAAATTATCAGACGTGCCCAAATTAGAGGCGGAAGTCTAGCCAATGATTTGGTCCAAAATTCAAGCAACCTTGATTAAGAGCTTTGCACTCTCCCATTTGCCATTATAGAACAAGTGCAAGGTACTTCTGAGTGGAAGCAGCTGGAAAGAAATCCCTTTTGAGTAGAGGCAGAGTTGTCAATAGCTAGAGATTAAGGAGGAAAAAGAATATATAGCTTTGGGCTGGAAGGAGTGGTGGAAAGCTTTCTTCCAGTCAGCTTACCAAGCATCACTGAGATGCCATCAGAAGCAAGAAAAAGGGACCAGCATTTGAGTACCCACCTGATCCTACTGCCCAAGCCCTTCTCAAAATCCCAGCCAGGCTCCTCATGGCGATCTTCCCACTCTCGAAGAACCTCATAGAACACATCTCTGACAGACACACAAGAATACCCGATCAGCTGCAGCACAGCCATCTCTAACTCATTTCCAGTGAAGTATTCCCTAGTTTGGAAGACTGAGGACAGCCCTGTCCACAGTCCTTCCTTAAGCTCCAAAGTTCTTTATGTGATGGTAATGTTACAGACCCAGCAGCAGCACTCATTGGTCTCACATACATCCGTGAGCAGTGAAAGTGAATCCTGGCATACTCCTGTCTGAGTAGTTTATACACCTGTGAGAGGGCTGTCAAACTCAAGGGTTCAAGTCCATGAGAACGAAACAGAATGAAACAACTGGCCCTCATGATGGCTGTTAATTAGAGCCTGGGGGTACTGACCTACTACTTGTTAGTGCCAGCCTCCTATTTTCTATGAAAACAAGACAGCTGCCTATTACAGAGAAAATGTTGCCTTATTCCTTCCCCTCAATATTCCCTTTCCATTTCACCTCTGTTTTTTAAAAGTATGAAAGGCTCGGTCACTGGAGAAGTTGGCACGATTGTCAGTTTCTGGCTGAAAGGAGACAGCTTGAGCCGAGGGTGGCATTGCCAGAGAGACCTAAAATATGGCAGAGACATCAGAAACTTTATAAAGCCTGTGGAAGTCATGCTCAGAAGACTTTACTCCCTTATTGTTACCCAGAATTAGCTCATATGACAATTAAGTGTCATGAGCAGATTGCCTGAATTCATGAAAGTTAGGAATGGTCAGGTCCAGGTTAGTAGTCATCTAAGCTGGGGTCACACTACCTTGGCAACACTGCCCTCGTAAGCAGCTCGAAGTCGGCCTTGAAGAGCTGGTGAGAAGCACAGTAGCCGTTCATTCTCAGCCAGCAGCTTTAAGGTCCCTTTGTCCAAGGAGGAAAGAACCCTACAGGGAGAAGAGCACAAATAACTGAGACTGAGACACAGACTGCAAACAGGAAGCAGGCACCCTATTAAAGTGTATTGGGAGCATGGAGCAGATGTGTAAGTCCAGAAATGTACAGTAGGGTTATGGGTCAAAGACCAAGACAACAGAGGCAAAGGACAAGGAAATTAGACCTTACAGTGCAGAGATCAAGAGAGCAGGCCAGGAATATTAGCCATAAATCCAAAGGTCAGCTGTTGAGTATATTAGATTCTTTTAGGGGAGACAAACTCAACCTTGACACAAAATTATAGTTAGGATAAGGTCCAGGACCACTGTACCTGTTAAGTACAAGTATATAACCCAAGGGGTCAGAGAATCAGACAAACAATTAAAATAAAGGAAACTCACTGAAATTGGTGCTGTAAAACCTGCACTGCAAAGAACACACAATCATGGATGCTCTGGAATAGTGGGCTTTCCAGGGAATCTAGAAAGATAGTAACAAACTGTTAAGGGCTATCCCATCTGTAGTCTCCATTTCTAGAATATGAGGTATCTCACTGATGTAGAGCACCTTGACTCAGTTCAAGATCACTGTTCTTGGCAGCCACCATCCTTCGGGCAGTAAGGAGCTGAAAGACGAAGAAAAGCTCCAAGAAGAGGTTTGGGACCAGGTTCTCTGGATATAAAAAGAAATCCCTTAGTACTGGAACCATTCGGAGCCAAGGCTCAGTTTTACATGGCTCATTTAATTCTCATATGCTGCAGTTCTACCAGTATCTCCATTGTAGCTCCCCTTGCTAGCTCTCTCACCAGCAATGCACGAGGAGTAGACAAGGGCTACCAGCTCCAGGCGCTGGGGGGAAGACACTCTGGCAGGGTCAGCAGGTTCTGCAGTGAGGCTTCCAGTCCGGCTGGGGAGGGAAGTTCCCAATTCTGGGGTGGGAGAGGCAGGGGTAGGTGACTGCTGCAGCTGTTTAGAACTATGGGGATAGAGAGATCTCATGAGCAGTTAGCCTGGCTTTCCATACACATTATCTCTCTCTCACACACACACACACTCCCTCCAGAGAAGACATTGACCAGCCCAGGAAACAAACCCAGAGTTCCCAAGGGGGAAATCAATTTCAAGGAAAAGCCCTGCAGGTCCCCCACAAGGGGAAGCTGACATCCCAGGGAGCGGCAAGGCCATACCGCTCCTTCCTGAGCATCTCCCGCTCCTCTCGCAGACTTCTGCACCCTGGGGGAAGGCCAAGGCCCCAAGGGCTAGTGTCCAGGGTTGAGGGTTGGGAACTGGGGACACAGCTGATTGGGGGTGAGGTGAAGCAGATCTTGGGCTTGGAGAGTGACCGCTCTTCGCTCACCGGAGTTGGGTTGATCCTGCGTGAAGGCTTCGTCCTGCTGAGAGTAGCCATAGGTTTTCCTCAAATTTCTATCTGAAAATAACGCCCACCCCCCACAGCTGGGCCTCTTGCAAAAAAACAAACAAACAAAAAAATCCCCTCACTATTATAGTTACCTCGCTCCCAACCTTCCAACCCTTCCCGAGCTCAGCTCTGATTTACAAACTTCCCTAGCAGAGGCTTCAGACCACCCATCTCCTCTGTTAGGGCTGGTTCTCACCCTGCAGGGCCGGGGGGAACCGAGCCTACGGGAGGGAACTCCTCCAGGTTGCTGAGGTTTGGTGGATCAGAGAGCGTGAGGCTGGGGATACTGGGGCTACCAGAGCCCTTAAGCCTCCGGCCTCCGGGCCAGGACAGGCTCTCCCCGCCGACCCCCTCCTCTGGGACCCCGGGGGCACGGCCTCCTCTCTCCCGGGCCGGCCCCGGACCCCGCCTCCTGCCCCCGCGGCGGGTCAGAGGGGCCTCAGCGGCGGTGCTCGAGGGCTCAGTCGTAGGAAAGAGCTGGCTGCGCGCCCCGCGGCCACCCCGCGGCTGGCCCCCCGGCCTCCCTGGCAAGGCTGCTGAGGCTCCTGGAGCCTTGGCTGGGGTTGGGGGGCCCTGCGGGAGGACGCGGCTACTCTGCTCCCTCAGGAAGTTGAGCAGGAACGGCACAAATTCCTTCCGTAGGGGCCGGAGTGAGTTCAGCACGGCCGCCTCCCCCGGGCTCTCCTGTGGAAGAAGAGGTCGAGGGGTGAGAGGATCAGCTGCCAGCCCAGGTCCGGGGCAGCTGGGGCCGCAGGGCGCGCCTAGGGTGGGCGGCCCGGGCAGCGGCGCCCGGTCCGAGTGCACTCGGCCCGGGCTGGCAGCTAGGCACCTTAGAGGAAGGGATTGGAGAGGCAGTATCTCCCGCGGGAAGCCGATTCTGGTCAGCCCTGGGGGCGTGTCGGTGCTGTTACCTCCGAACTCTGGGTGCTGCGCGCGATCCACCGCACGGCGGCTGCGACCGACACCTCCTCTCGCAGAAGCGACTCCAAAACGGCCGCCATCCCGGTCGGGGCGCTCTGGGGCAACTGCGCAGGCGCCGGCGCGCCACGGGCGGCCTGGGAGGGGCGGGGCCGGCGGTGGGGAGCGACCGTTGGGCGGCAGGACGCGGCGGGTGGGTCTTGTTCAGGCCTGCGGTCAAGGAGTCGCTGGGTCCTCTGTGCCTGCCAACAGGCTGCACAGCCCAGGAGGGCCCCTACCCTGACTACGCCGGCCCGAGGGGGCGACTCGCCGGGACTCGAGTTAGGATGGGCTGCCGCGAGGCAGACGCAACTCTCGGGAGACCAAGGGCGCGGGAGAGCGGCCGGTTGTAAAGGTGAACAATTTTAAAACAGCAACCAGCCCACGCCTTCTGCCATAAGCACATTTCCGAGAGTTAGGGTTTTTTCAGGTTTACCATCCAAAAAGTAGTTATAAAGTTTTAATCTAACTTCTCATTTTGACCTCGTTTTTCTCAAAGGCTGACTTTTCACCCATTGGCCAAGCTTTGCAATGTTCTCCATTAACTGATTATTTAGGAGAGAATTCTTCCTGAAAGATCAATAAATGGTCTCTAGGGATCTCTAGAGAACTGCTTTACACAGTACTACTCCTTTACACAGTGCTACTCAAGATTAATATTTCAACTACTTTCCAGTTGAGATGCCCATAGGCATATTCACGATTAGCTTCTGGGAGATCAAGGTGTGTGAGGGTGTATTTGTTTTTATGCGTTACGAGGTGGGGGTGGGGGCAATGAACCCAGGGCTTTGCACTCAGCAGGCACCATGCAGTACCACTTAACTGCACTCCTTGCCCTTATTTTGAAAAATGTGATACTGGGCATTTTTGATGTTGCTCCTCAGTGAGAGAATCCAGGCTGAAAAATGTGGAGCGTGAAGCCAGGACCCTGTGAATGCCTCCTGGGTTCCTTGGTTCAAAGGAAGATTACAACAGGAACCCAGAGGGTGGCGGAAGCCTGAATCCCTCTAGTGGTACCAGAGGTGTTTCTTAGGGAGGAGGAAAAAATACCTTCAGCCAGAGAGAATAATGCAAGGGAGAAAGGGAGCTTCTGACAGTTTTGTTGCACAGGAACCATCTCATATTTCTGAACCTGGTTTTCATCTGCAGAGACACTGAACACCTAGTTTCTATTCTTTCAGCCCAGGGCTTCATTTTCCTAGGTCACTTCCGGTCACTGTTTTCTGGAGTACTGCATTTTCAGTAACACTTTTGCTCCCAGTTAAAAAAAAAAAAAAAAATTAACATTTATTTATTTTTATGCGGTGCTGAGGATCGAACCCAGGACCTCGCACATGCTAGGCAAGTGCTCTACCTCTGAGCCACAACCCCAGCCCCCAGTTAATCTTGTAATTGCTAATGCATTCAAAATTTTATTAAATTAGTATTTCCCACTTTTGAAATCAAAACCATCACACAAAGAGAACTAGAGTTTGCATGCGGAATGAATATTTTATTACTAGATTATAAAAATAAAATACAAAATAATTTTAAAACAGAACTTAAAACACTGTACAAAGCTTTAATATGATACAAATGATAAAATTAAATAAATTACATTTTTTATGTACAGATGGCCTATACAAAAGCACTCCATGTTTCTGCCAATACTCTGTCCTTGGTTGCCTGAGCAAAAATGCATAAAGGGAGCTGCTTGGAGGGGAATGGGACTATGCAGTACCTTTGGCGATATTTCTCATCTCTGATCCCATGAAGAGAAGAGAGGTACAGGAAAGTGGAATTATTTGTCATCTATTTTAACTCACTGGTTTTGTTTAAAGAGAGAATTCTGACTTGTGGTTAAATCTGATTTAATAGCTGCCAATAGCTCATAACTTTCAAGATGTATATCTAATTCAAAACTGGATGCCCCCTCCCCTTTCCTAAAAGCTGGGAACTTGTAAGTAAATGGCCAAATAAAATAAGTGCTATTTTAGGAAGGAAATTAGAGGAGCTTTAGGAACTGCATCAGAGAAAAGTGAAGAAGGTTCAAGCCTGGGTCATCTGACCTGTTCTCTTTCCTCAGTCCACCCAATTTCAAATCCCTAAGTGGCCCAGTGCTATATTCCTTTATCTGGCTCAAAGCATTTTACTTGAGCGAACTAATTTCACTATGTTGTGCATAGTTGAAAATTGTTTTGGAAAGTCTCAAAGCTTTCCCTTTTCTGGGAAACCCCCACAAATAAATCACAGCCAAGCTCTGGTTGCCTTGTTACCTCTTGTAGGTGAATGAAGAACACCCAGAGAGAGTCCAGTGAAGTGCTATGAATTAATTTTTTAGAGATTTAAACTATATAAGAGGAAAATAGCATCATATGGGAAGGGTAGTCTATATAAAAACTTGATTTACTCAATGTTTTAAAATAGGTGAGTGAACATTTACATACAAAATATGAAACAACATTAAACTACTAAAAGGAGGTAAATTTCCTAACTGTTTTTAGTGTAAAAGTATGTCATCAACAAATCTATAGTGCCAGGGGCTCAAAGTCGGCCTCACATATCATGTTCTCAACCCAGAACCCTTGGCCCAAGGTCTGGAACACATAGTTAGCATTACCAGTGTACACACTGTGCCCACACTGTTACTTCCAAGTAAAGAGGAGGCAGTAACCTGTTAAGTTACACAGGGCAATGAAAGGAAGGGCTTCACCTCTGTTACACGCCTGCTAAGTATAAGGAAATATTCAAATTGTTACTGAAAAATGTTACTTTGTTGCTATTTAGTGTTTTGAGATTATATGGAACCTAAAGTGATCCTGATCTTTTCACATTAATTTTCTGATCTAAATTTGCTCAAGGAAAATAAATAAAACATCAAGCTTACATATTTTTAAAGTAGACAATCACAACCAAATGTCTTAATAAGCCATATCCAGCTGGGAATTTCTTAAAGATTAAGGTGTGCAGCATCCAGATTCTCCTCTAAGTGGATAGGAATCCTTGTCCAATGTCTTGGGAATTCCCCCTATATAACTCCTGTTATATAGCAATGCTGGCAACAAATTCTGAAGGCTCCAGTGACTCCGCAATTTCTCGTGACTGCAAGAAATTGCCAAAATATAGAAAATATCCAATAATATGACACATCCACAAAGTACACACTCAAGGGTTTTTTGTTTTGCTTTTGGTGAGGGCAGAGGAGAAGCTGGATGTCCTGACAACCACCTGGTTTGCCAGGCACTATACATCTCCCACATGGTCTGAGGACTGGAACTCCTTCTCTAAGAGTCTAAACCAGCATCAGTGGTTACTGAATTGGGGTATATACAGACATAGAGGGAAAACCATAGTAATTACATGCCCTAATCCTATAATACTTTGTGTCAAATCATAGACAAGTAGCTATTTTGCTAATATACTATCTGTAGAACTAAACAAAGTTAAACAGTGCAGTTGATGTCAACCATTCTATTTTCTTAATAACAGATGCTAAACCATCTCTCCCCATAAGCAAAGTCCAAAAACATGGGTGATAAAATGCACAAAAACAGAAATGGGAAGATTTTAAGAGTGAATGCCAACAATTCCAAAACACATGAACATGACATGACAGAGGGATTCTCTAAGACATACCATGTTTTGATAAGATATAAAGGAATGAAAGAAGTTCTTAAAATATGAAAAATTTTGATCTCCAAGACTAAATCTAGATTATCTACAAATAAATATATTTTCAAACAGCCAAAGTAAGATGCATTTTTTTTTCCAAAGCTGCTAAAATTCTGAATTCTGGATCCAGTTTCTCCTTTCACCAATTCCTAATGTTAGGTTAGGAACATAAAACTGTCTGCTTTTGGGAAAAAGGCATCTGTTTTTAATTCAAAGCTACTGGGTACAGAAAAACTATGGTTTTAACTATCTGAGTTTGGGTTTGTAAAACATGCACCAATGTACAACTTTTCCCTTGTAAAGCGGATGCAACTTTAAAACATTAGCTTAGGAATCTATAGTCTGGAAAGAGTCTCGGGTGTTTACCAAAGAACCTCAAGTTCCCATAGCAGCTAGGAATCAGACAAGGGATACTGCACATCTAGAACACTGAGTCAGTAAGCAGTGGCTTAGTATGCTAAAGCAAATAATATTGGGTCTCAATTACCATTTTGCTACTTATTTAGGACTTGATTAACTTGGCAACTATTATTAAAGACATCCACTCCAAAACATGCAACTTAAAAAGCAGTAAATGTATCTGTGCCACTGTCAGCAAGGCCAGCTTGCGTACCAGAATTGAGAATGAGAGTGTCTGCCTGCTGAAGGCCTAATATTCAAAGTTGACTTATAATTTATGTCATAATGTTAAATTTGATATCCAGTTTTCCTTCTTTGTTCACTATCCATTAAAGTTAAATGTCTTTAAGCTGATAATATTACTAGGTGGGATTTTAGTATTTTAACTAATTCATAGACCCTGGAGACCTGGCAGCATAACTGAGAAAGAATACTACCTGAAGGCATTGGGCTGGTGCTATTCCTATCTTCTGTTCCACCCAAGTAATCCCAGAGACTAGACAAGGGAAGGCAAGGTCAAAAATGTGGCTAGGTAACCAGCCATTTTGTTGTGATAGGAGAAACCAGGAGGTACTTGATTTTCAAAAGGTAATTCAAACTTCTGCCCAATAATACTTTTAATACAGTTTGGTTAATAGCCAAACTGGTTTAAAATTACTTGGAATAACATAAAATAACTTGGATGATCTGTAACTGTAATCTGAAATATGCCACCACTTAAAAACCCAAAAATAAAGGGGGAAAACCCCCCAAAACCAAACAAAAACATTGTTCTTTGTATAATACTTTAAAATAAAATAAAAACAAAAATTATTGTGCCAAAAGTGCTTGCTCAGGGCTGTCAACTTCTATTTTTAGCCTAAGATACATCTAACATCTAAAAGTACAAACTATGCTTTTAAAAACCGTTAAGTAAATCTCTTTATATAAGGATAGTATGTAAAAATGGACTTATTAGAACATAAGATTAGTCTATTTCTTTTGAAAGTATCAGAGCAGAAACATCGTTGGTTAACTCTTCTACATGCAAAGTTAAATATTCTT